CATCTCTCTCTTCACGATGCTGCCGGTCACCTGACTCAAGATCCACCTGAGCAGGTCACTCAGCGGCCTGTTTGTGGCTAACATCTTCTGCGTCTCCTCCACATTGTCCACCCATTGGCAGTATGCTATCGTCCTATAGCGAAACACATTGCATTTAGATTATCAACCCATTTTAATCATTCAGTAGGTCATGTTCAAGTTGGAATCCACTTATGAAAGGCATCTGATCTCTGTCTTTTAACAATATAATGGTGAACTAAAGAAGGCTGTTCGTGAAGAACAACGTGAAGAAAAACCAGCTCAGTCTCACCAGTAGAAGTGCTCCTCCACCATTTTGGTGATGGCGCGTGAGATGGCTTTCTCCTGAGGACTCAGGCTGGAGTTGAGGTTCACGCCGAGCTTCTCCTCCAGGAAGTCGATGATGAACTCTGTCCCGCACACCTGCTCCTTATTATACGCGATCCACGGCATCTTCCCTTGAGGAGACAACTTCCCATCGAAATAGTTCTGTGGAGAAAATGGTTTTGTGTTTAAAAACCGTCCATCTCTTTTCACAGCATATCTTCATCATCATATACTGTACTTGGATACCTGGTAGGGCAGGTCCGCCATCCGCAGGTACGTTTCTATCTTCAGGCAAAAGGGGGACAGGCTAGGGACTCCAGTTTTGGGCCGGGCAAACTGATGCAGAATGATGGCGTCTTCAGAGTCCAACTCCTGTTCCTTCCTGCAGGGCAGCAAATATGGAAGTACATTAGAAATGAACAGTTTACAAATACGCTAAAACGTCCTAAAAGGATCAAATTTGTTTTAAAATGCACCAGACACATTCCAAAAATGAGCAAGATACAGCAGCATCTACTGTGAAAAGCTTTGGGCCCATTGGGAGAAATCATATTATTACTTTGGGAGAAATTTTATTATCAAATTGCTTTAATATTCTGCTCTCTAGATATGGCTCAGTTACCACCTTAAGTGTCTCTATGATTTTTTGACAATAGAAAAAAAAGATTTTTATGCTGTTTTTAATGTATTTCTAGTTGGTTGCTATAATATTATGGCCTCCAGATATGGTTCAGGTACCTCCTTTAGTGTCTACTGGATTTTTTTTTTCTTTCAATATTTTATCATTTAAACCATGTTCATCAAATTCTAAAATTATCTATTTTGTGGAACGCACCAAAAACATTTAAAAATTAGCAAGATAACCAAATACAGCACTTCCAAACACACTTTTTATTGCCTATGGGGAAAATGATATTATTACATTTCATTATACAATAGAATGTTTTTATTTTTATGTTGTTTATAAATGTGTTTTCTACATCACTGCTGATCAACTGCTGCATTATTTTGTAATTTCTGATTGATTTCAAAATGACCAAAGATTACCAAATACAGCAGCATCCAATATGGAAAGCTTTGGGTCCCTTAGATACTCTTTTTTTATTGCTTAAGGAAGAAATAATATTAAATAAATAGAATTACATAAGGCAATAAAAACTCGATTCTTTTTTTTTTTTTGTAATTTTTTTTTATTATTTCTATGATATTCTGGTCAATGTCTATGGGATTTTTTTTTTTCATTCTTAAACCAAGTTAAAATAAATAAATAAATAAAAT